GTCCCCAATACTATCCCCAGGTTTGTTTGTTTGTTTGTTTATAAGATTTTATTTATTCATTTGAGAGAGAGAGAGCATGAGCAGTGGGGAGAGGCAGAGGGAGAAGCTGACTCACCACTGAGCAGGGAACTGATCCTAGGACTCAATCATGACTTGAACTGAAGGCAAATAGATGCGTAACCATCTGAGCCACCCAGGCACCCCCTATCCCCAGGTTTGACTTAGTAGGAGGACTCACAGCATTCAGCATATAGCATACTCATCACTATGCTTTACTGCAGCAAAAAAATACAAAGCAAAATCAGCAAAAGATATCTTTCCATTTATTTGTGTCCTTATGAATTTTTCATCAGTGTTTTATATTTTCCAGTATCCAGGTCTTATAACTCCTTGATTAAATTTATTCCTAAGAATTTTATTCTTTTTGCTGGTGTTGTAAATGGGATTTTTTTTCTTAATTTCTTTTGTAGATAGCACATTTTTAGTATGAAGATACACAACTGATTTTTATATTTTTATTTTGTATCTTGCAACTTTACTGAATTCACTTATTATTTTTAATAGTTTTTTGGTAGAGTCTTTAGAGTTTTCTATATATAGGATAATATCATTTGCAGAGACAACCTGACTGCTTCTTTTCCAATTTGGATGCCTTTTCTTTTTTCTTGCCTAATTGTTTTGGCTTGGACTTCCAGTACTAAGTTGAATAAGAGTTGTGAGAGAGGGCACCCTTGTCTTAGCTAAGGGCTTGTCATATATGGCCCTTATTATGTTGAGGTACATTCCTTCTAAGTTGTTGATAGTTTTTATCATGAAAATACATTGAATTATGTCAAATGTTTTTTTTTCTGCATCTAGTGAGATGATCATTTTTTTAAATTTAAATTCAATTAGCCAACATATAATACATCATATTATTTTTAATCCTTCACTTTGTTAATGTGATGTATCACATTTATTAAATTGCATATGTTCAAACATCCTTGAATCTTAGTGATAAATCTTAATTGATCATGATGTATGATCAATTTTAATGTGCTGTTGAAATTGGTTTGCTAGTATTTTATTGCGAATTATTGTATTTATGTTCATCAGGCCTGTTCATCAGGTCAAAATTACATTAACATATAGTTTTCTTTTCTTTGGTCTGATTTTGGTTAGGATAATTCTGACCTCATAAAATGAGTTTGGAAGTTTTTCTTCCTATTCAGTTTTTTGGAAGAGATTGAAAAGGATTAGCATCAAGTATTCCTTAAGTGTTTGGTAGCATTCATCTGTGAAGCCATCTGACCCTGGGATTTTATATGTTGGGAGGTTTTTAACTGATAACTGATTTGATCTCTTTACTCATTATTGGTTTGTTCAGATTTTTCTATTTTTTTTCATGATTCAATTGTTAGGTCGTTTCTAGGAATTTATCCCTTCTAAGTTATATGATTTTATATATATATACATACATACATATATATGGTTGTAGTCTCTTATGATCTTTTGCATTTCTGTGATATCTGTTATAATGTCACCTCTTTCATTTATAATTTCTATGAGTCTTCTCTGTTTTTTCTTAGCTTAGCAAAAGGTTTATCAATTTTATCTTTACAAAAACCAGTTCAGTTTCACTGATGTTTTCTATTGTTTTTCTCAACTCTATTTTATTTATTTCTGTTTAAACTTTATTTCTTTTCTTCTGGTAACTTTGAGCTTAGTTTGTTCTTTTTATAGTTCCTTGAGATGTTAAGACGATCTTCTTTATTGTAGGTATTTGTCACTATAAATATTCCTTTCAGAATTGCATTTAATGCATTCCTTAATTTTTTAATTGTTAGATTTCAATTTTTCATTTGTTTTGAGATTTTTTTTGATTCCCTTTGATTTCTACTTTAATACATTGTTTGTTCAGGAGTGTGTTGTTTAATTTCTGCATATTTGTGAATTTTCACTATTGATTTCCAGTTTAACATCATTGTGATTAGAAAAAATTCTTGATATAATTTCAGTCTTCTTAAATTTGTTAAGGCTTGTTTCTTTTTTTTTGTCTAACCTATGATCTACCTTGGAGAATGTTCCTGTGTGCTTGAGGAGAATTTGTATTCTGCTGCTGTTGGATGGAACATTCTGTACGTGTTTGTTAGGTCCATTAGGTCTATGCCCACTTCAAGCCCACTGTTCTGGTATAGATTTTTCTTTTTGGATGATCTAGCCAATACTGAAAGTAGAGTGATTAAGTCACCTACTCTCTTTAGTTCTGTCAATATTTGTATATTTAGGTATTCTGATATTGGGTGCATATATATTTGCAATTGTAATATCGTCTTAATGAATTGACCTTTTATCATTATATAATAACTTTCTCTAGCTCTTGTGACCATTTTTGACTTAAAGTCTATTTTGTAGGACATAAATGTAGCCCTCCCTGCTCTGTATGATTGCCATTTGCACGAGCTATTTTGTCTAACTCTTCACTTGCAGATTGTGTGTCCTAAAGACCTAAATGGGTCTCTTGTATGTTGCATATAGTTTGATCTTGTTTTTAATTAATCTGCTTACTCTGTGTCTTTTGGTTATGATTCATTTACTTTTAAAGTAATTATAAATAAGGGAGGATTTGCTATTGCCATATTAATTGTTTTTTTTAAAGAAATACTTTTTAAATTTTTTTTTAAAGATTTTTATTTATTTATTTGACAGAGATAGAGAGAGAGCACAAGTAGGCAGAGCGGCAGAGGGAGAGGGAGAAGCAGGCTCCCCGCCGAGCAGGGAGCCCGATGTGGGGCTCGATCCCAGGACCCTGGGATCATGACCTGAGCCGAAGACAGCCGCTTAACCGACTGAGCCACTCAGGCGCCCCAGCCATATTAATTGTCTTTTTGTTTGTTTTGTTGTTTTTCCTCTTTTAGTGTCTTACTTTGTGATTTGATGTTTTTCTGTGGTGGTATGTTTTGACTAATTTTTCTTTATATTTTGTATATTCACTACAGGTATTTTTGTGTGTGTGTGTCTGTATGTGATTACCACAAGGCTTACACAAGACATTTTATAGTTATAAGAGTCTATTTTAAGGTGATAACAACTAACTTTGATCTCATACAAGCCCCCCCATTTTATGCTATTGATGTCATATATACATCCTTTTATATTGTGTATCCATGAACAAATTATTATAGCTATAGTTATTTTAATACCTTTGTCTTTTGACTTTTATACTAGAGTTAAAAGTGATTTATGCACCAACTATTACAGTAGTGGGAGCATTCTGAATTTAACTATAACTTACTTTTACCAGTGATTTTTATACCTTTGTGCTTTCATATTGTGAATTAGAATTTTTTCATTTCTACTTGAAGAAGTCTCTTTAGCATTTTTTGTAAGACATGTATAGTGATGATGAACTCCCTTAGATTTTTATCTGGGAAAGTCTCATCTCTTTTTCATTACCGAATGATAGCTTTATTGGATATAGTATTCTTTTCTTTTTTTAAAGATTTATTTCATTTATTTTAGAGAGAGAGAGAGAGCATGTGCACGCACATGTGGTGGGGGAGGGGCGGCAGAAGAGGGAGAGAGAGAGAGAGAGAGAATCTCAAGCAGATTCCCCGCTGACCTCAGAGCCTGACACAGGGCTCCATCTCATGACCCTTGAGATCATGACCTGAGCTGAAATCAAAAGTTGGACGCCTAACCGACTGAGCTGCCCAGGCATCCCTGGATATAGTATTCTTGGTTAGTAGTTGTTTTTTTTCAGCACTTTGAAAATATTATACCATTTTCTCCTGCCATGCTCATGGATTGGAAGAACAATATTGTTAAAATGTCTATACTACCCAAAGCAATCTACACATTCAATGCAATCCCTATCAAAATAAAACCAGCATTTTTCACAGAGCTGGAACAAACAATCCTAAAATTTGTATACAACCAGAACGTACACTTCATATTTTCTGTGACCCTTAAACTGCTATAAACAATAGTCAAAACAATAGAAGAAATTAGAATGAATGTAATATTGCCATTTATACATATTTATAAAAGGAAGCATATTTTAAAGAAACTGATATTAATACTTTTTCATTATACTTATATGTATTTTTCTTGAGAAGTAATTTTGATCATTGGTTTTGATTTGAATGTTAACTACTTAAGCTTGGGTGACTCAAGTATTATGTTTGTCTTCCCACCCTTCACTTGAAGAATTTGTGTCAGAATTGTAATATATAGCAAATACTTGTTGACATGGAAAAAATGTATACAGAAAACCTATTTTGGGCGGTGGTGAATGTTATAGAAGTTGGGCTTCTAGGACCTTTGAAAGCTAGAACAAATTTGACTTAGTTTGCCTAGGATAGCCATGAGGAATTGGGGTTTAGGCTGAGGGAAGTGTTTGCAGTGATGATATTTGGAAGTTTGTTGGCAAAGACAGGTATACAGAAAGCAAATCCTGGAAGGAACTAGCTAGAGTAAGTACTGAAGAGATCAGAGATGTATAATTGTGGAAGTTATTTTTTATAGTTGTTTGGAATGTGATATGTGAAATAAACCCTTTCTTGTGTGTCCTTAAATTACTTTAAAAAATCTACAAACTTTTTTCTAAATGTTTATGATGTGTATTTATTATTTTGTAAATGGTTGCCGATTTCTGCTTGAAGGGACAGCATACGGAGAAACCAAAGGATGTCCACACAAGCATAGCCATGATGGGTTGAAAGTAATTTTTTACAGTAATTTTTATATTAATTGCTTAGGTTTAGTTTTTGTCTTTTTTCTTATAATTATGGTAGTCTACTTATCTTTGAATTTCTCACTTCTTTTACAAGCATTACCCACTCTCTTATCCACAGTAAATTTAATTATTTAAATTTCTATGCAATGCTTAAGTAGCTAACAAGACTTAATTTTCTCCTTGCTCTCAGCAACTTAGAAAAAAAATGAAAAAGCCCGAAGGGAAAGAAAAGTTGAGTATCATTGCTGCATAATCTTTTCTTATGTTCCTTTTTCCCTTCTAGCTAAAGCCAATCGGTATACAGTGTAGGAAACCTTTGGACGAATGCGATTTCCCTGAATATTGCGATGGGGTTTCCTCACACTGTGTGCCTGACACTTACGCACGTGATGGACAAAGTTGTGATTCAGGTGATGCCTTCTGTTATGGAGGACGATGTCGGACACATAGCAAACAGTGTAAAGATTTGATTGGAGGAGGTAATGACCAAAACTTTCTTCTTAGTTCCTAAATTCTGGTTATTCTAAGCTTTGTTATTCAATTCTATAGGGCAAAATGTAAATATAATTTGCTAATTAGTGACGTCTTGCCCCTTGGTGTAAAAGGATATAAAATTTTCTTGATTCTGAAAAAAAAAACAACCCTTAATTTATATGGAATTCTTGTTTGCAAAGGAAGAAACCTCAAGTGGAAATGCAGCTTCTCAGATTATATAGAATTGGTGGTGGTGCGGTTTAGTTTAGGCTTAAATGAAACAAGGTTTTTACTAGAACAAAGCAGAACTAATAACTAATTGTGTGTATTTCAAGTGTGGGTCTATTCGAAGGGGCTTGCTCATGAGTGAGTGCTTCAGTTTATGACCTGTCCAGTTCACTTTGATAGTTTCCTATAAATGTGTAGATCATTAGCTTCATTGAAATATACAATTTCCTGAACATACACAGTTCATGTTCTTTGAGAGAGTGAAATGTTTTATTCTCAATCCTCCCTTTAGGCCTTCCTTAGCCAGGTCATAGGTATTGTGTACCTACCTAAGTATTATGTAAATCTATATGAATGACAGGAATTTAAGGAGGAGATGAGGTAGAGGTTTTGGTGATATTATAATTTTGTTCTGCTTTTCTGTAGGAATCATAGTTGTGTTATCTGGCAAGACAATGGTGACATTAGTATTTAAAATGTAATTGAGATGCAAACAAACAAATGGCCAGTAAAATTAGGAGAAACAGAAAATTACTTCAGATCCATGATTCAGTTTCCCTAAGTAAAATCAGGAAACTAAATTTCAGTTCTAGTTAGATAAATTTAGATCCACATAGTGGGATGTCAACTACATATCCCCCAAGTTATTTATCTTGTTTATTGTTTCTTTAGTATTAGCAGTGATTTTGAGTGATTTAAAGATTTCTGTGAGAACTACAGATATTTAAGTACAATAGTCTTCTCCCAAAGTATTACAAATTTCTTGGAGATAAGTATAATATCTAAAGCATCTTGATTTTGAAGAAATATCTCTCCAATCCTAGTGATTACTTGTGTTAATTTAGGACATGATAAGTCTGGGCCTGACTATCAATTAGGTTTTGCATTTATTTTTGAAAAGCAATCACATTTTGTGAGCCTCCTGCAGAGCTTGGGGGCAAAAGGAAATTGAAAATTTTGGAGCTGAAAAATTTTCTTCAACCATAACTGTATTTCAATCCAAATTAACTAAAATTCTTTGACTAGGTCATCTGTGATCTGCCATGGACACTGGTTAACCAGAATGGTCTTGAGTAGGGCTTAATAGAATTTTTTTTTTAAGATTTTATTTATTTATTTGACAGAGAGAGACACAGCAAAAGGGAATACAAGCAGTGGGAGTGGGAGAGGGAGAGGCAGGCTTCCCAAGGAGCAGGGAGCCCGATGCAGAGCTCAATCCCAGGACCCTGGGATCCTGACCTGAGCAGAAGGCAGACGCTGAATGACTGAGCCACCCAGGCGCCCTGGGCTTCATAGAATTCTGAAGAAGGCATTAGCTTTCCAAGATAAGAATGATATATGATTTACAGGCAACAGCCAATAAAATCTTATTCACTGACCTAACACAAATCATTATGTGCCACTAAATTATTAGTTTCTGGCCAAAATATGCTTATGGGGTAAAATGTGTGTCCTTTTCTAAATTCCTTAGCAAATTTTGTTTTTGTAGAAGTCTAGCTCCTATGGTATGCTTTTCAGTGTTATTTTTGCATATGCAGAAACTTAATATTTAGGTATAATATAAAATGATGTTAAAGTTTTAGCATCATTTAGTTTGTGGTAATGTTTATCCTCTAAAAGGTAGGAGGTCTCATTAGTTGTAAAGTCACATACATTATTAGGAGTATTTGTCACCAAATTAAGTTGTGTAGTACCTAAAGGGATGTGCATACAAACCCAACAATCACATCAGGATTTCTCAATGTCAACATTATTGATATTTTAGGCCAGATAATTCTTTGTTGTGAGAGGTGGGAATTGTGTATTGTAGTACATTCTGTGCATTGTAGTACATTCAGCAGTATTCATGGCCTTTGCTTACTAGACACAATGCCTGCAGACATTTTTGGTTTTTACAACTGCAGCAGGACTGTTACTGGCTTCTAGAAGGTAAAAGTCAGGGATGCTACTAAACATTCTACAATACACAGAACAGTTCCTACAACAGAGTTACCTGGCCCAAAACAAGGGGCCATCTTATTAATTGCTTTCTGGCTGTTTTATAGTTTCATTGGGAGAAAATATTTATGAATCATGTATCTGATAAGAAATTAATATCTAGAATATATGGAAAACTCCTAAAACTCAACAAGAAATAAATAGTCCAATTCAAAAATGGGCAAAGAACTTGAATAGACATTTCTCCAAATAAGATAAAGAAGCTCACCTTTACTAATCATTAGGGAAATGTAAATCAAAACCGCAGTTTCACACTCATTAGGATGGCTACACAACAACAACAAAAACAACACAAAATTCCAACAAGGATGGGTGAGTATATAGGGAAATCAGAACCCTTGCGCACTATTGGTGGGATGTAAAATGATACAAGCTGCTGTGAAAAATAGATGATTGTTCCTCTAAAATTAGAAATAGAATTACTGTATGATCCAGCATTCCTACTTCTGAGACTATAACCAGAAGAATTGAAAGCAGTGTCTGGAAGAGATATTTGTACACCCATGTTCATAGCAGCATTATTGAGAATAGCTAAAATTTGGAAGCAACACAAGTGTCCATCAATAGGCGTATGGAAAAAGAAAAATGTGGCATATACAAACAAACAATGGAATTTTATTCTACATTAAAAAGGATAGAAATTTTGCAATATTCTACACATGGATGAATCTTGAGGACAATTTTGCTAAGTGGAATAGCCAGTCACAAAAACACAAATACTCTATGAGGTACCTAAGTCAAAAATCATAGATGTAGAAAGTATAATGGTATTTGCCAGGGACTTGGGAGGAGGAGGAATGGAGAGTTATTGTTTAATAAGTATAGAGTTTCTGTTTTACAAGATGAAAAGTTATGAATGGATGGCAGTGACAGCTACACAACATGAATGCATTTAATACCACTAACCTGTACACTTAAAAATGGTTAAAATGGTAAACTTTATTTTGTATTTTAACACAATAAAATTTGTGGAAAGACAAAAAAAAAAACAATTCATTTGATATGTAGACGCTGTCTGTCTTTAATATTATTTAAAGTAATTCAGCTAAAAAGCTTTTTTAAAAAGATTTATTTATTTGAGGGAGAGAGGGAGAGAGAGCATGAGCAAAGGGAAGGGCAGAAGGAGAGGGACAAGCAGACTCCCTGCTGAGCAGGGACCCCCCCCCCACACACACACACAGAGCTCGATCCCAGAACCCTGAGATCATGACCTGAGCCGAAGTCAGACACAGCCTGGTGAGCCACCTAGGCACCCCAGGTAAAAGTTTTTTAAAGCTTTGTTGCAGTATTTCCTTACTCTGAAGCCCATTAGCTCTTTTAATATCATGTTTTATGTGTTTATATGTAAATCTTTAATTTCTTAAAGCTTGGCAACTATCTTTCTCCATCTTCTGTTCTTTCTTGAGTGTCTGAAATAGACCTGGTATATAATAAATATATGTGGATTTTTTATTAAAAGGGAGGCACAAAAAGGAGGGATGTCTTATGCCACCATAATGCTGGCAATACTATCTTTAGCATTTTGTGGAAGGGAGGTCTAGTGGTCATGAACTCATTTAGCTTTTGTTTGTCTGGAACAATTTTATCTCCCTTTAATTTTTGAAGGGCAGTTTTGCCTGATATAGTATTCTTTGTTGGCAGCTTTTTCTTTCAGTGCTTTGACTATCATACCACTGCCTTCTGGACTATAAGGTTTCTGCTGAAAAATTCCCTCATAGCCTTATGGGGTTCCTTGGTATGTGAGAACTCACTTTTCTGTCAAATTCTCTCTTTGTCTTTGAATTTTGACAATTTTATTATAATGTGTCTTGTTATGGATTTCTTTGGGCCCACCTTATTTGAGGTTCTTTGGATTTTCTCTGGATATCCATTTCCTTCTTCCAACTTGGGAAGTTCTTTAACCATTATTTCTTTGAATATGTTTCCTGATCCTTTCCTTCTCTATTCTTTTTCTGGAACTCTCATAATGCATATATTAGTCTCATTGATGGTGCCCTATAAGTCCCTTAAGTTACTCTTTCTCATTCTCTTATCTTGTTTGTTGTTAATAATTTCCAGTGACCTCTTTTTGAGTTCACTGATCATTCCTTTTGCTTGATTTAGTCTGTTATTGAACCCCTCTAGCGCATTTTTCAGTTGTTAGTGTATTGTCAGCTTCATGATTTCTGTTTGGTACTTCGGGCTCTGGATGAATGGATCAAGTCTTTGCCTCCCAAGGGGGAAGCTGAGAGCTGGAATTATTTATCCACTCACTTGGCGTTGAGCAGAGGTAGTACCACTGATAACTACTAGCTCAAGCTGCCACACCTATAGTCCCTGGACATCCAGACAGTTCAGACCCATCAGAGCTCCCAGAACTGGCAATACAGATTCCAGGTCTTTGGGCAGCCCCCTTGAAAATGTACACATGTTGGACCTCCAAGCAAAGCCTTCTCTGCTGGGTGAAGCAGCGAGCTAGATGATCTCTTTCTGCTTGTAAGACACTGCACTGTGGTAAGGTTGCTGATGAGAGGGTGTCTTGAATCTCCCTCCTGGCTTTGGTGAGTCTGGTTTTGCATTCTTCCAGAGTAAAAGAGCCTTTCATTTAATTTAGGGTTCATCACAAAGAAAATTAATCCATGAATTGAAGCTGAACCAGCGAATTTGTGAGTGGAAAGGAGAGTCCAGGTCTTCCTACACTGCCATGTTGCTGATATCTCTTTCCCTCTGAAATATCTTTTCCCTCCAATATTGTTAGGATATAATTGATATATGATACTGTGTAAGTTTAAGGCATGCA